GAATTTTTAATAATTAATTATTCTAAAGAAATAACTGATACATTAATGATTATAAGTTTTATTTTAAATAATTTGATTCTTATTGAGTATATTTCACCCCATTTTATTTAAGCCAGCTCATAAAATTGCCTATTGTTTTTTGGGTGTGCTAAAAATGGGTATATTATTTTTCAGTTTGTGTGTATGGAATTTTTTTATTAGTAAATTATTCTAAAGAAATAACTGACACATTGATGACTATAAGTTATAATTCCCAGTTGGTCATTTTCATTTTAGCACACTCGTATCATTGCCTCTTGTTATGTCAAAATAGGCATTTCTAATATATCAATTTTTTAAAAAATACTTATAATTTGTTTTTCTTAATTTAATTTTTAATTTTAAAAGAGTTTACTTTTAAAATATATAATATATTATATTTTTATTTTTTTAAGTCGTTTATCATGATGGTAAAGAAGCAACTAAAGGTCATTATTTTGCTGATGTATTTTACGTGGCTCTTGGTAGATGGTTACGATTCGATGATGCATCTGTACGTTTTGTTACTGATAAAGAAGTGTGTCAGCCAAAACCTCCATGTATGCCATACCTGCTGTATTACAGAAGAAATGACACAATTGCTGCGCTCTCGGCATTTGATAATAAAGGCCGATAAATTGTTGTATATATATATATATATATATATATATATATATATATATATTTACATTTTTTTAAAAAAAACAATTTTGATATGTATTTTGCTTTACCCTGGGTCATATATGCGATTTATGTAAAAACAACTAATTACTATTTATATATATGTATTTTTTTTTTTTTAAAAATTCAAAATGGAAACCCCTTAGTGAGATACACAATATTTCTTGTAGATATTAATACTTAGTTGACCTTGGTAGACATGGGTAGTTTTTCTTTTTGTCTCTATGTCGAAGTATATTACACAGGGTTATTTCAAATATATATTTTTTTTTTTATTATTATCGAAAAAAAATTATGTTTGATTATGACAATTTTTTATTTGTCTTTCTCTTTTAAAGTACTGTCAAATTATCTTAAGGCCTATATAATTCATGAAGATGTTTTAGAGAGTATTATTGAGTGAATAGTTTTGAGAAATTGTATTGCCTGTTTGTGCAAGGAAATTTGTAACATATAAAATATAAATGATACGAGACTAAAATTACTATTTTTTATTAACTCAATTATTTGTTAATTTAAATACATTTTTTAATTACATATATTTTTTTCTTTGTAAAGTATTAATTATGTTTGTGTATATAAAAATTAATTATAATGTATAGTATCATAGAAATAATTAAGTCATGGTTGATTTTGATAATAAATAAAGAGAAATTAATTTGTATAATAATACCTAAAGTAAATACTGAAAATATGAGAATATTGAATATGTTTTTAAAATCATCCGCCTATGTATATTTATAGATACAATTATATACCATTATATGTGTGTGTATATTATAATTATAAATATATTTGGTATTTTTATTTTATTGCATATTATGCTTCTAAAATAATTTCAATTTAATGTATCATTTATAAACCGATGGTGTGTATTCTTTTCTTAGAATTTTTTTTATTTTGTTTATATTTTTGAGTATCTTAGATGTTTGAAGATGCAACAGTGTAAACTATATTAATTACCTATCTACACATGTGAACATAATTTATAAAAAAAAAATTTAACAGTTATAAACAGTGTTTAATGGGTTTAATTTATGTTTTGTTTTTTATTATTATTATTATTTTTATTATTATTATTATTATTATTATTATTATTACTTTTATTAATTATATTATTGTTAGTGGTATCACTTACAATCTCAATGATCATCTGTAAAATATAAGTGTCTTATAACAAATGTAAAATGGGACTGTGGAGGGGAAGTAGAACTAACCATACATGTCTCATTAAATTATATAATTTATACTTTATTTAGTCACGACTGCAACTTTTATAACAAATTTTGAGCATATTATTAAATATATGCTTTATAAATTATTATGTTAACATTTCAATCGTTTTGATATGTGTAAATCCTATTTTTCCTTTCTAACTATCTATTGTTCAGGCAACAGTCTTAAAAGTATCAGCTAAAACAAGATCAAAATATTATTCAATAATAGTAAAGCACAATTATGCTTGATCTTGGTCAGGAAGACTTCGAAATGAATAAAATTATAAATGGTCATCAATATGGAACGGATTTATATGTAATAAAAATACAGAAATATGTACATATGTATGTAAGTATAATTTATAAAATATATGTTAAAAACATCCAAATATGTAAGAAAAAAATTGAATTGAAAAAAAAAAATTATAATTATTAAATTATTAAAATGATTTGTTGCATTGAATTATTACAATATCTTTTAAATTATTAAATATTATATGTCGCTTATTGGATCTGAATATTTTTTTAAAATGGCTAATTGATCGTTCCACATCAACCTATATTGGTTGATTGAAGCGCATAATATCAGAAGGCGATAATTCTAAATTTTTAGAATGGTGTCTACCACTGATTATGTCATTGATTAATTTAAAATCAATATCGCCTGGAATTTTTTTTTGTAATAGCATAAATTTTATTTTTTACAAAATTGTTGGTCCATTTAAGAGTTTTCATTTTTCAATCGTTGATTCGACAATTTGCATACTATCATTTAAGGACTTATTTTTTTTCTAATTTTGTAAATGTATGTGCAATAAAACTAAAATTCACTGAAATGAAAATTAAATTATTTTTCAATGTTTCATTTTGCATAATATTTTGAGCTTTTCTTATAGCGATAGAAGTTACTAGATTTAAATTAGAAATAATTTCTTGTATTTTTCATACGAAGAAGACGTGAAATGATAAAATATGTTTAAAAATATTTACAAGTTAGTGAAATATGTAAAAATGTGTAATTATACCAAAATATTTAAAATAAAAGTAGCATCATATTAATAGGAATGATTTAAATCATGAACATTTCTTATCGAATCTTAAATAACTCGTTTTAATAAAAATATGCATTTACATGTAAATCCGTTCCCTAGTCATCAATTTACTAATTAAAGCAAATGCATTTAACTAGGCTTAAAAAAAATATTAAGTGCTTTTGAAGTTTCTATTTCTTAAACTAGTCGAAGAATACATGATTATCTGCAAACTATATTTATCCACTTCAATTGTGTATTTTAAAGAGTTATCCCGTTTTCTTGATGTCAGTATCTTTTTGGAAACAATTTTTTTGTTATCAAGTAAAACATGTTAAGTTTGCTGAATTTCACTTAACAAACACTATCAAAATATAGTGTCTGAACAAAACTATTTTGTCCACAAATATAATTTTCAAACCATATATTGACATACATATTTTTTGAACAGCTAGAAAAAGTTGAGATTAATTAACAGTCCTCGTTCAATATCCTTGAAATACCTACATACTTCACCAAGGGAACTATTATATTAATAAATAAATTGAATGGGAAAATAACACCTGGATTTGAATTTATTAAAGATAAAACAATATGGAAACTTTATACAATAGTTGTTATTCCTAAACTCAAACAAACTAAAGAATGAAATTACCTTTTACCTACTCTTGCTAAACTTCTTGAGAAAATCATAAAAATAAGACTTAATACTACAAACCTACAACATTATTTCTTAATTTAAATTTAAATCTTTATTTAGTTTAAAAACAAAACATTTGACTGTACATCAAATGCAATAAATCGATGATCAAATATAATTTTCCTTAGAAAAAAATAATTCTACCCGAAGTTATTTACAGTTAATTAAGTAACATTAAAATAATATTTAAATGTATTTTATGTTGATGTACAAACTATACACTTCATAACCAGGGCTGTGTTAAGGGGGGGGGGGTCAAATGGGCAATTTCCCCTGGGCGCCGTAGTTTTTTAAAAGTAATGGGGTGCCCTTATCTGCACTTAATATGCTATCTGTGCCCAGCGGCCCTGTAGAAAAAATTTGGCCTGAGGCGCTGAAATGTTTAACACGGCTCTGTTCATAACTACTTTAAAATAGAACCAGTTAATCTATTAGCCACATAACATACTAAAAAATAATGTAATCAATGAATTTGCAACACTTTTAAATCACTTCTTGGATATCCTTCTCGTTGACTTAAGATGAATAGTGTTGGGATGTATTTAACGATTTACATGAGATGTTCTTACTTTTCGTAATATAATGAATTAAATTGTTTGTTTATTATGCCTCAGAAAATAGATTGTAAATATTCTTTTAATAAAGAAAAAATAAACATTTTTTGTTCTCACAATCTCTCGTTATATATATATATATATATATATATAATGACTTTCATTCGCTTCACATTGTTGTATAAAAAAAATGTATTTTTGTAGTTTTATAGTTATCTGTAGTATAACCAATCTGTAATTAAATAATATTATTTTTAGATGTCGAGGACAGAAAAAATGTAGTATTTTTTGTTACAAGACTAGTGCTTGAATTGGTGGAGAAAGGGTGCGCAGGCGGACGGAGATCCTCTACTAGTTTTTTTTTTCTGCATACCCCCAACTACCTTTATTTTTTCACTGGAACGGGGACTATTAATCGTAGCGTTTTCCTCGGGCGTAAAAATTCCTAGTTCCATCTCTGTCCACGATCAGAACCCAAAATTCAAGGTGGGTCCCCAACTTACTTACAAAATCTAATATGACATTTGATGTACAGTCAGGGCCGGCTCAAGTAAAAATAATGCACTAGGCAAAATCAAATTTTGCCGTCTCTAAAAAAAAAAAAAAAAAATGAGCTCTTATTTTAACTTAGCCCCTCCTATTTTTAATGTGACATATCTACGTAAAAAACATTATAATTTTTTACTTTATGTATAAAATTATATGTAAAAAGACTTAAAAATGATTTCTATAATTATTACTCAAAACCCATCACAATCGCGTCTACTGGAAATCACTGAATTGAATATTTATATTTTTGGAATAATTGAAAACGCTCAGTATAGGCTATAATATAATGTAATATACCTAATACTTGTAACTTCAGACAATATTATTATATTGGTAAGTAGTTTTCACGAAAAAATTGATTTAAATATTTTTCTTATAAAACACAGATAGAACTAAAAAAAATGTATAAGTAAATTTTGAAAATGCCGCTCTAGGCAGATGCCTAGCTCGCCTATACCTTGAGCCGGCCCTGTGTACAGTGTATGCGACCATTTTACTTTACATGATTATTTTATTTTTATATTAATATTTACGTATAAACGAACAATTTCAAAAATGTTGAAAACTTGATAGATCATTTTTGAATCAACTGTGAAAAGCTAAGTTATTTCAATTGCCAATCAAACTAGTTAATGCCCACCTTTGTACAGGACTATATAATTTCATTACAAACGTAAAAAAAATGTATTAACTATTAAGAATTAAATGAACCATTTAGAACTGCTGAAGTTGAGGAAGGTCATTTTCCCGTGTTTGATAAAAATTAAATTATATCTCTTCAGAGATAGTAACATCGTGATTTTTATCGTTGATATCAGTGATAAACAACACGTATTTCAGTTTGCCGCCAAATTGTGTGCTATATTCGTATATTTTATAATATACGACATATTATTTATTATTACTGTTATTGTGACACTATTTTTTTTTGAATTTCTATTTGACTAATTTATTTGATTTTCTTATAGTTTTTTGATAGATAAAATACTATAAGTTAAATTATAAATTTTTATGTTCACTCAATAATTAATATTAGGTAATGTACGATTGTCTTTTTTCTAAACTATAATAAAATACAATTTTTGGTAGTGTCATAACTTAATACTATAATTGTAGGCAAATATTTTGTCAATTACGTTGTGACAGAACAGATAATGGATCAGCAGGTGCCTATTGTGAGACGGTTAGCAGAAGATGTAGTGAATAGAATTGCCGCTGGTGAAGTGATCCAAAGACCAGCTAATGCCTTAAAAGAACTTTTGGAAAACAGGTATATAAAGTGTAATATTTTATTGTATTGTTCCTGATCAAGATGTATACACATAAACCGTCTTGGATTAAATCTTATCTGTATTATATTTTAATATTAATTTACGTTTAAAATTATTTTCTTAATTATAAATTTGTTTTGGATTTATCAAAGTTTATAGTTCTATTATACCATTTTACTATTGAACATTTTATTTATTTTTCAGTTTGGATGCTAAATCTACAAACATTCAAGTTACACTGAAAAATGGAGGATTAAAACTACTACAAGTTCTTATTTAATATTTATTACTATGAAAAATTCACAAATTTTACTATTCTTATGGTTTTTAGATACAAGATAATGGTACTGGTATTAGAACAGAAGATTTGGGTATTGTATGCGAACGATTCACGACTAGTAAATTAGAACAATTTGAAGATTTAACTAAAATATCTACTTACGGATTTCGAGGTGAAGCATTAGCTAGCATTAGTCATGTTGCTCATTTGACAATTACAACCAAAACAAATGGAGCTCTTTGTGCCTACAAGTATTAATTATATATAGTTTGTTATTTATTCGATCTAAACAGTATATAATAATTTTTTTTATAGAGCATCTTACAAAGATGGTAAATTAAAAGCACCACCAAAACCTTGTGCTGGTAATGTTGGAACTATAATTACTGTTGAAGATTTGTTTCATAATATTGCTACTAGAAAAAAATCAATGAAAAGCTACAATGAAGAACATTTAAAAGTTGTGGAAGTTGTAAGTGATTTTATTATTATGATCTAAGTACTTACAATTAAAATACCACTTACTGACTGATAGATCAGCATACAACCAAAACTATAACCGATTCGTTTTAAATGTTGAGGGGGTGTACTCAGGGGCGTATTTCTATATTTCTCACATGTAGGCCTGTGGAAAATGTCCACTTTAAATAATTAATGTACTGCACTAACTGGATTATCATTTAATTACCTACAATAAAATATATATTAATTAAGTAAGTATGCAAAACAAATTTTATTTAAATACTAAAACATAATTTCTTAAGATTTAAATCATTTTTATTTATAATTATTAACAAAGTACATTCTTCAAATTTGCCGCTGTAGGCACGTTTCTTTAGTGTCTGTATATAAATATGCTACTGCATGTACTATACATAAGTGCATTAAGAAAAGATTTTTCTAAAATTGCACCTTAAGAGTTTTAATATTTCCAGGTTAAATTTATAAATTTTTTCACTTTTTGATCAGGTATCTAGGAAATATTTTATTTTGTATAATATGTTGATTTCAATAACTATTAATTAAGTTATATGAAAATTAATAATATATAAATAAACAAAAATAAATATCATTAGAATATACACACATTGTATGTTTATTTTAATCTAATTTTTTTCATGTCTAAATTTTAATGCTCTAATCTAAAATGGTAAAATATCTTCTGGGTGAGGTTGAGTAATTCAGATAGTTTTTATTTTTTTATTTTATTGAATTGTATTTTATATAGATTATTTTGATTTATATTTCAATAAATTAAATGTTATAATATTTATTATTAAATTAAGTAAAAATAAATATTTGTATGTTTTTTAGTTCTAAAAAAAATTAATGTTGGATTATTTACATTTTATTTAATTTTCTAAGGTAAGTCGATATGCTATACATAATCCTTTGGTTGGGTTTACCATAAAGAAACTAGGTGAGTCTTTAACTGAAATAAAAACAAATCAAGATTCTACTCATATTGATAATATTCAAGCCATTTTTGGATCAACTATATCCAAGTAAAGTATAATATATTTAGTTATATAAAAATATTTAGATTATGAATTTAATTAATTAAATTTATAGAGATTTGTTAGAAGTAAATGATTATTGTAATATTCTTAAAGTTAAAATCAAGGGTTATGTGTCAAATCCAAATTTTTCTGTAAAAAAACAGATTTTCATATTGTTTATTAATAACCGTTTAGTTGATTCTCAAGGTAAATTAGTTTAGTAATTTATTTAACACCTTTTTTTTCTTGAAGTCTAATTATATCTTATAACATTAGGTTTAAGAAAAGCTGTTGATCAGATATACAGTATTTATTTAGCTAAAGGGTCGCACCCATTCATATATCTTAGTTTAAACTTAGATCCGCTGAATGTTGATGTAAATGTACATCCAACAAAACATGAAGTTCATTTTTTACACGAGGATAAAGTGATTGATAAAGTAATTGATGCTATTCAAGATAAACTTTCTGGTGCTAATACTTCGAGAACATTTTATACCCAAGTAAATGTGTATTTTATATTGCTTGAATACTTTTATTTTATAAAAACCTAAATTAATGATTTTTTTAATTTTCTTTTTTTTTAGACTAGATTGCCAACAAATGATATTTCAAAAAACGAGTCTAATATAAATATAGAAATTAAAGAAAGTGAAAAATTAAAAATCATCAATTCTCCAAGTGTTTCACAAAACAAAATGGTCAGAACAGATTGTTCTGAACAAAAAATTGAGAAGTTCCTCAGCAAAAGTGATACTAGTATGTTAATGCTTGGTAAATCACAGACAGATGACGTTATTAAACGGTAAAAATTATAATAAATAATATCTTTATGCTATTTATTAGTAAATATTATTAATAATTTAGACGAGAAATAAAGTTAACAAGTGTGTTATCTTTGCGCAAAGAAATTGAAAACTGTTGCAGTGAAGTCCTACAGACAATTTTTCAAAATCATAAATATGTTGGTGCAGCTTCTCCTACTTGGTCATTATTTCAACATGATACAAACTTGTACATTTGTGATTCTAATAAAGTGCTGTAAGATGATACAATTTTTTTTTAAATAATATTATTTAGTTAATTATTTTTATTTGGGTTTTTAGGCAAGAAATGTTTTATCAAATTATGATGTATGAATTTGGAAATTTTGGTGTTATTAAATTTTCAGTATGTTTTAATAATCATTAAAATTATTATTTAATTTTTAAAATACTTTTTTGTTTGTAGAATTCATTATCTATTTATGAGTTGATATTGATAGCATTAGAATTATCAGAATCTGGTTACTTGAATGGAGAAGATAAACCAAAAGAAGAATTAGCACAAGATGCCACTGAAATATTAGTGTCTAAAGCACCTATGTTAAATGATTATTTTTCGATTGAAATTGATTCTGATTCAAATATATTGTCAATACCATTATTATTAGGTATGTATCATGAAATTAAAGTAAAATATACTATAAGTCATAATGAAAATAAGTAATTGGTATTATTTAGTCATGAATCGGTTGATATTTTTTCAGAGGGATTTTTACCAGATTTGGATGGACTACCTTTATATTTATTACGTTTGGCTAGTGAAGTTAACTGGTTTAACGAAAAAGAATGTTTCTTAAGCTTTTGTCGTGAAACAGCTAGATTTTATGTAGTACATCCTTGGAAACAACAGTGTAATGACATTGATGATATATCTGTAAGTACTAATGTTATATAAACAGAAATTAATTTTTAATTTTTTAATAACTTTTAAAGGATGCTGCACCTGATAGAAATTGGACTTGGAATTTAGAACATGTTTTATATCCATCTCTACGAAAATCATTTCAACCCCCAAAAAAGTTTTTAGAAGATGGTACACTATTAAAAATAGCTAGTTTACCTGATATGTATAAAGTATTTGAAAGGTGTTAATGTATACAACACTAAACTAAATTATTTTTAGGCGTAAAATTACATTTACATTTATATTAAAATATTAACATTTATTTCATTATATTATTATTAATACATTTTTTATTAGATTAATATAAGAATAATTCTAATTTAATTTGTTTTCATTATATTTTAAATAGTTATTTGTTATTTGATTCCAGAATTTTAATTTTGAAAAAGTGTTGATGTGTAATTAATTCTGGCATTTAATATTGTATTAAATAGATTAAAAATATTAAGGACTTTAATATTTCTGATAACCATTTCAATTATATCATTTTTTTTTAAATGCACTACAGAATTAATTTTATTATTGATAGAACATTAATTTATTTGCAAGTGATCATTTTTTTAATTACAAGACTAATGTCATTATTAATCTTGTAAACACTTAGATTAGATTTTTAATCAAGTGTAAATGTGGTGCAATACATTAATTCTTATAATTATTTGTATGTATTATTTAAACAGATGTGCCAATTTTACAGTTTCTTTAATATATACATTATTATCTCCCTCCGCCCCGGTAACTGTCCTCATATAACATTTGAGAACACAGTCATTCCTCACACAAATGTGGTCAAATATCTCGGTCTACTGTTTGATAGAAGGCTTATCTGGGGCCCCCATCTAAAAAACCAAACGTAAACAAATAAATAGCCGTCTGCACATCCTTAGGCCTCTCATGAAATCTAATATGTACATCTCCAACCGTCTACTACTCTATAAATCCTTACTGCAACCTATCTGGTTATACGGAATAGCTCTTTGGGGTACTGCTAAACCATCGAACACAAGAACTATACAAGCACTTCAAGCTATCTGCCTCCGCATGATTGCTAAAGCCCCTTGGTACGTCACAAATGTTGCTCTACATAATGACCTCCAAATCCCCACCATTAAACAAACAGCTATCAAATATTATCTTTGCCTGCACTTCAATATGGAACACTACTCAAATACCCTCATCACTCAACTTCATACCAACGCTCTTCCTAGCAACCCAGCCAGACACCTCAAACGTGAATGGCCCAGAAATCTTCTCAACGCATATTAAACTTAAAATGTCTTTTTCATTTTTACTGTCTCTAACTTAATTATCCTCCAGGTAGAAATTTCTAATGTGAAACCTCTACTCACTGTCTTCCTCTCACCACTTCTTTAAAAAAAAAAAAAAAATTATCTCATTCACATTTACTAATTGTACCATTTTATTGTAAATTTTCATAAATTAACGATAATTTAAAAAAAAAAATATAATTGTTAAATATTTTTGTTTTTATAACATATATTACATATTTTACATATATTGTTACTAGATCAGTGGTTCTTAATTTTTTTTCCATTGTATACCTATCTTGGTATACTTAACAAATAATTCTTTGAAAAAAATATTAAATCCATTTAAATTATTGCACTACCATACACTCATATTGTAATAATAAAAAAAAAATACTAATGTACTCGGTGGCGTATTTTTAGGTGGGGGGTCTCGATCACACCAGAAGAAAAAAAGGGTAAAAGTTATAAATAACTTGCTACAAAGGTACATGGAAAAAAGAATATTAATCTATATATATATGGTTGTATTCCTCATTTTTATTTAAAATAATAATAGAACAATATAATTATAAATTCATACCTTAAATGTATTTTTTTATAATATAAAATCACTTATTTTTTAGGAAAATTTAAAACCTCTCCCCTACAAAAAATTTGAAAAAAATCCCTATAAATGTACTGAAATATAAATTAAGCAGGCTTTAATTTTTAATTGTATCAAATCAATTGAAGACCATGGGACTAGTCAGTAGAATATATGTTAATTAATTTGATAAAAAGTCACTCAAAGTCCTATTTATGATGTTAAGGTTTATTATATTATCTTAATTGTTTTATTTAATTTGAATCTTTGAGAATAATTAACAAGTCACTACATCATTACCATAATTATAATATCAATGTTGTAGTAGTACAAATAAAAGCAATAATATTTATAGTTAGTGAATATTGTTTTTTTTTTCTTGAGTTATATTTATCAGTATTAAATTTTTACAACTAACAATAAATGTTAGTAATTATTTTTAATTTTAATTTCAATGAAAATACATCACTAATAGAAAAAAATTAAATAAAATTTGCAATATAGTAAACGTCACATTATTAAAAAAAACAAACATTAAAAATGATCGGTAAATTAATTAAATAACCTATTGGTTGAGAATTATAAATATTAAGTAATATTGTGTATAAAACTAGTAAACATTTAACAAGGTTACATAGGTTGTTAACTATGGTAATTTATAAATAAATAGATATATTTCAATTTTCGATTTATTGCCAAGTATGTAATTACTATCGAGCGCTCGGTTCAGCTTACTCTAAAAATATTATGACAGTTTGATGAGGTTTTGAATTTTATTCCGATTAAACGAACATTTATTTTGTCGTTGTTGCAATGCTACGGGCACGCTCAGTGCGTATCTAAATCGAATTATCATTAATTATTTATAATTCATTAAATCGCCATAATGTGCAAATCAAATAGCAAACGAAATGTCATGCATTTGTACTCTCGGCGGGTTAAAATTCAATTACCAAAAATATAATGTAGTAAAATATTTACAAGGCCTGAAACCCATTAGCTGTCAAGATTGCATAATAAATAACAATGCTTTTTCAAAGTTGTGTTGAAATAGATAGACTAATGTAAACGGTGACGAGCAGATTAGATTGTCGTTCATGTCAAGTAGAGAATTCTTGTTTTCCAGTTAAGTTTTTACTTTTCGCGCAGACTTAACAATTATGACTTGTTTACTACGCAGTAATGCATAATGCAAATATAATGGTTCTACTCAAGGGTGTAGGTAAACATTTTTTAATGGGATAGGGGAGTTTGATATAGGTATTTAGGTAATAATTATTTTTATTATTTCCTATCTACTTAGTTGCAAGGATTTTGGCGATTCGGGGTAAAGGGGTTGAACTCCTATAACACCCCCCCTTACCTACGTCAATGGTTATACTAGTCTGTATACCTTATTGATTTGAAAAAAAAATTTAAAAAAAAACTAACGTTTGTATTTAAAAAAAAAGTTATTGTCAACTATAGTGATTAATATAAATTTTTAATAATAATCAAATTGGTCCAAACGTCCTAACTTTGACTAATTTTATACGTACAAATAATATTGTTCCGAGTGATGCGAAGAAAAGTCGAAGAATATAAAAATAATTTTGACCAAGGTAAAAAAAATATACATGCAATTATAGTATGTGCAATACTATGGCATACGTGGGGAATAGGTGCATTATCCGGTCCGACATCACGTGCTGTTGATACGTGTTTGCATAGGCGTTTGACAGAAGACCTTGTTTTGTTGTTCGGGTCTAGATTCCGTATCTGGTCATAAGGCGTCGTTAAGAAGCGTCATGCTATCGAAATGATTTGGTATTTATATTAATATTATTAAAATTACAACACATATACATACAATGTGTACATATACAAACACTATTACATATAATATATTAACATTTTTGTTTGTTCATTGGTGTGTTACGCGTGTACAATCAGATAATGTAGTAGAATATTATGTATAGGTACCGGTTTACGTAGTTGCAGCTGAGATTTAGCGTAATCTAAAGTTTCTTAAGTCCATAAATGTAAATAAAATGGTAATGTTTTGAATAACTTAAATGATATGGATTATGTGCGGGGGGGTAGTAGGTACACAAACAATTCACTGGACACGTACAACTACGTGAATTATACCAATACATATTTTTTTATTAATTTTTTTATTCCGGGCAGAATGTAGTTATTGGTTTACAAATATGTTCTTCTTTTGTGATCAAACTTACATGTTGTAAATGTAAACCTGCAGCAACACATTCAAGTATAGAAAGTTTAAGAAAGATGTTACAATTTAATTCTAGCTGTCACTATTTAAATCAGAAATTAAAAAATTGATCAATGGACATGGATGGTACCTACGTTAGGTATGTAATTTTCGATTATCATAATAGTTTTCGATATTAATTATTAACGAAAGACTGAAGAAAAAAAAGAACGTAGGTACTAGTGTATGCTTTACGATTAGAAAATTGAATACAAGCGTATCGAATTGTTTTACATGTTTTGAAATAACCAAAATATTGTGTTTTGTTTTTTTGCATTAACATTTTAAGTTCTAAATATGGTAAAGTTGAGCATAACCACGATTAAGAAGTTTTTGTTCAAGAATTTTTAATTTTAAAAAACGTAACTCTTTTAACAAAATGATATTTAGTTTCACTATTTACTACGAAGATATTAGAAGTTGAATCGTTTGCTGTGTCTAATTAATAATAATTCAAACTCAATTTTTCCTAGGCGCACCTTTATTAGGAATATTACAGACTTTGTCGTGTAATTCATTTATAAACGACCTTCCGTTCCAATTTTGTAGTTCTGTGTTCTCACGCCAATTCTTCCAGTAATTGATCGAATCAATATTACGAAGGTCACGAACAATAGTCCAAGTGCTGAGGGACAACAAAATAATTATAAATTTTTAACAGATTTAATAATCTAAAAGTCATAATTTTACCCACAACTCATCATCCATCATATTAATTATAGTACAATACTATATGGCTTACAATAAATTGTCAACTGCATCATTAACATCATTAACTGTAGATCATGTTTATACACGTTGGATGAACAGTAAAAAAAAAAAAAATCTGCAAAATAATAATAATATTGTAAATCAATGTTAAACCATTTAACCACAAGTCCATTAGTCAAAGACGGACCATAGATCGTTTGGAAATTTGATTTGGTTTCGTCATACATTACGATGCACTAATATATATATTACATATAGTGATATGACATGTATACTAATATTTTTGTATACATACGTACTAATTGTTTTTGTACCCATAATGTGGTTAATCCATCGTATTAACTGAAAATTTACCTAAGATGGAATATTTCTTGGGTCTACCTTCTACGACAGTGGTTCCCAACCCATGGGCCGCGAGCAGGGTGGTA